TGATATCTAATCCGTTGTATACTTTTTAATTCGGTGCCAGCTACAGTATGAGGTTTTTGCCCTTTTCCTGCTGCATATTCTCATTTATTAACGGTCTTTCAAATAACCTGGATTTCTCGGCCTGTCGAGACCCCTGGAATCACTGCTCTGTGATACTGGTGGTACTGGTGGAGGGTTTCAGTATGAGGTTTTTGCCCTTTTCCTGCTGCATATTCTCATTTATTAACGGTCTTTCAAATAACCTGGATTTCTCGGCCTGTCGAGACCCCTGGAATCACTGCTCTGTGATACTGGTGGTACTGGTGGAGGGTTTCAAACCCTGCAGAGGGATTCCTGCTTGGGGAAGAAGTGTTGAGTACAACGTGTTGTGGCCCACTATGGACCCTGGTTGGTATCTTGAGTTGTAGAATGGCTAAAACTCAGGCATTGGACAAAAAAAAAAAAAAAAAAGAGAATAATAGGTGGCAAATATTGTGAGTGTCTATCTAAATCTGGATGTTTCCAAATAACCTGAACTTACCTCATAAAGTCCCTGAGTGGCTGCAGGCTGTGGGATCAGCAGATATGACTGGGATGAGGTGGTGATAGTGGAGTACTTGAAACCATACAGAAAGCACAGGGGAAAGAGTGAGCCTCCCCAAATTCTCACTGTATCTGAAGTCAATGGTGATGAAAAAGGCACCGGGCAGAATATTGTCAGTGAAGAGCTCCCTGAACTTCACTGGGAGCCTCCTGCCGAGACTGGTGGTCCCCCTTCCAGTCCCAGTCTGTTAACAGCACCAGTAGGTGGGTAATGAAAACCTCCAGTTTTGAGAAGTGGCCTACATCCAGGTGGTGGATTGTCGTCTTGCTCCGTGGTAATATTCAGAATTTAGCATTCAAAATTACATTTCTAACGGTTGGAGATGAAAGAACACGTGCAAACTCCACGTGTGTCTGTGGAGGGGTGTGTGAAGGGGGTCTCTGACTCCTATATGCCTATATGGACACTGCTGTAGGGATCAAGTGTAAGGGGTGGGTGGGGATGGGTTGGACAGTGTGACGTGTAGAGATACTGGGTGCACATCCACGCACATTGTCTATTTTTTAAATTACTGTTGTTATTTGCCAAAACATGTTCGGGCTCACTGTCTCTTTGTAATACAGACACAACACACACACGAATTTCATTCACTGTTATTGCCAACAAGTTTCACTTACTTGACAAATCCATCTTTACTATGTAAAAAAAGTCCAGGTCCAAAGAAAGTTGCCACCTAAAGAACTGAATGTAGGAAGGTGCCAAGTGCTAGAGATATGTGGACAAAGTGCTTACAGGATGTTACTGGGGCTGTGCTTCCTGCTCTCCTTCCCAGGAGAAACTGGCTGAAAAATGTCCTATTTTAGGAGGCATATCTTAAGTTCTTAGACACATTTCTAGGCAGTGAGAGGCCTGTCCATGGTGCCAGCCATGGTGCCAGCCTGCAGGCTCTTTGCTTTTCAGTAACTGGATGGTTTTTTTACTGTCATATCCAGGAGGGGTGGGGAGAAAAACGGGAAAAAAAAAAAAACAAAACCCTGCTCTGGGTGTGTTATAAATGTTCTTTAAGTCTGGGAAGGTGGTCCAGCCTCTTGGGGTTCATCCATGACCGCACAGGGGTGCACAGGCAGCACCCCGCAATCCCCACATGCCCTTTTGGGTTAGAGAAGCCTGAACCTGGTTAAAATGAAAAGGAGAGGATGAGAACTTTTGGAAATGGTGGTTTGGGAAGCCCTTTTCCCCGGGGTGGAGGGGGAAAAGGAATAAAAAAAAAAAGCCCCAGAGGAGAGGCAGGGTAGGGGGTAGCCAGTGGCGAGCAGGGGTGGCTCGGGGCATTAAATTTTAACCCCCCTGTCAGCAGCCAGGGCTTGTCCCGTTAACCCTCCTTCTTCCCGGGAGCTCTAGCCGCGGAGGGGTGCGGATCCGTGCGCGGCTGCGGCCGGGCAGGGGCTGTGGAGGAGGCGAGGGGAGCACAGCAGGGCAGAAATATTGGCTGGGGGGAGAGAGATGCCAGCAGCAGCCCGGCTCTTCCCCTCTCCTTCAAAGCGGGGACAGGGGTTGGAGCCCCGAAATTCAGACATTGGGTATTTTTTGAACAGAGTTGTGGGTCGGGCATCTCCCCCCCCCCAAAACCCTCCGCGGGACAGCGCGTCTGCGCTTTCCTGCTTGGATGTGCGACACAGGGATACAGAGATATTTCACAAATTTGGAGCGAGCCGTTATTTTACCGCTGCTGGCGCATCGGTACTGCGCGTTTTACTGGGCGCAGTTCGGTTTGGGTTTCGTGTTGGGTTTGGGGGATTTTTTTTGATTTTTTTTTTTTTCCTGAGTGTAAAACGACTAGTGAAAGGCAAAATCTCGGCCATTCATTTTCCCACCCCCTGGGATCCGTCTCGGATGCTCCCGATGCGCGGGGGGGAGCCCAGCCCTCCGCACACCGCGGCGAAAAATGCAGGTTGAGATGCGAGTTCCTTTTAGAGCCCTTCCAACCTGTGGTTCCCTCTCTTATTATTTTTTTTTCCCTTCCTTTCTTTCTTTTTTTTTTTTTCCTCCCCCCTCCAGAAAGTCCCAGAAACGGCCGCAGGGCGGTAGGAAGTTGCAGCCGCCCGGTCCACGCACCGATGATTTCGTTTCTGGTTATCTGCAAAAATGAGCTTGAAGCCAATTTTCGTGCTTCAGGCTAAAAAGAGGGATTCGTATTTCCCTCCTAGATGCGTGGCATTCCTGGAATCTCTTTGTCGCTTGCTGGAATTTGCCTGGAAACTCTCTTTAGGATTTGTAGACAGCAGTTAAGACCGATGGAAAATTTCTGAGCCATCGGGATGTTTTGTCTGGAAAGAAAAAAAAATAATAATCTTTCCTTGATAATTCGGTATGAAACTGTCCGGAGTTTGCTTCCCACTGAACCCAAAAAACCGCTGTTGGTCCCAAAATGCGCGTTTCCCACTAATCCCTTTCCTTCTCTTCCCTGGGAAATAAATCCACCTTTTCAGGAGAAGCCGCACTTCCTTCCCGCACCTTGCCAGCTCGGGAAACTTCTTGAACTTTGGATCTTTTAGGTCACTTTTTTTCTCCCCCCCCCCCCCCCCTTCTTCC